TCTCTTAGACCTGTCCCCGCAGCAGCCCCAGAAGTCAGAGTGGGACCTGGGTCACCAGGGCATCTGATACAAGTCGCAAAGGGGCAGGTGCACCACTGTCCAGTCCCAAGCAAGAACGGGAGCTGGGGCTCCCATTCCCCCACCGGTCCTCCACCCTCTGAGTGTCCAGGCCCCCCACCCTCTTTTCTGCGGAGATTTGTGGTGTCCTGGGACATTGAAAATGCAGGTGGGGGTGTCTGTCCACCTGGGCAATTCAGATGGGGTTCAGCAGAGCCTTGGGAAACAAAATGTTCTGCTGGATCCTCCTTGAGTGACAGCTGGCTGGACCCGTGATGGCGCTCCGGCCCCACAGTGAGGAAGTGGGTCGCTCATGTTCCCCTTCTCTTTGGGCAGTGAGTGGTGCTCCCTCAACAGTTAAATGGTTTGTCTGCAGGCTCTGAGCTCCCCAGGCCTGGCAGTGGCAGTGGCCCCAGTTGGGAGACCCTTGCCCTGCCTCTCTGGTGGCATAATACTTCTTCTCTGTCCTTCTTTTATAAACTCTGGTCTCTTGTTTCCCTCAGCCTTCCTTTTGGATTTTCAGAAGTCTGATTCGTTCATAAAACAAGGAACATTGGCTGGTTCTAGCTCTTTTCCTATACTATAACAATTTTACTTTTTCCCCAGGCAATGTGAATGGGAGACTAAAAAAAAAAAAAAAAAAAAAAAAATGCCTCTTATGAGAAGGTAGAAAAGAACACGAAGATTTAAATTTCAAGATATTCTCTGTCCACAATTCTTCCTCTGGGTAAATCTGTTTAACTCCCAAATAAATTTCACTCTTCCTTTGGGGAGGAAGGAGTCTCTTTCTCTTCAAAAGATTGGATCTAGTTCTCCATTTCTCTGACTGTACCCCAACTGCACTCCAGATTTCCTAGTGTTGTGTAATAAAGAATTCAGATAGCTTCTGTCCCTGGCCCATGGGAGGTAACCATTATAGCCTCAGGATTTCCCAAGTGAAAGGAATGTGTGTCTTCACTCTTCCTGGTGGGCTATTCAGACCATGTCTGAGCTCATGCTAATGAGATAACCCAGCATGGGGGCTGGCTGTGCCAGAAAGACCAAACGTGCAATTAGAGGGTTGGGTTTTGAGCCAGTTGATGTCAGCCCGACCGCTGCGGAGGAGTGGAGGGCTGGAGATTAAGCTCAATCACATGACTGATGATTCAGTCAACCATGCCTGCATGATGAAACCCCAATAAAAACTCTGACCTCAGGCTTGGGTGAGCACTTCCTGGTTCATGTTACATGACAGTGGTCCAGGAGGGTGCTGCATCCTGAGGACGCAGAAGCTTCACATCCGAGACTCTCTGAGACTTCACACTATGTGTCTCTTTACTTGGCTGGTCCTGATTTGTGCCCTTTATAATAAAACAGTAGTCATCAGTGTGGCACTTTCCTAAGTTCTGTGAACTGTTCTAGCGAATTATCAGGCCTGAGGGAATAGTGGCCACTTAGCAGAAGTGCAGGTGGCCTGGGAACCCCAGAACTTGCAGCTGGTGTCTGAAGTGAGGGGAGTCCTGTGGAGGACTGTGTCTTTCACCGGTGAGGGCTGCACTAACAACAGTTAGTGTCAGGCTTGCACTGTGCCCAGGTGTACCCACCTGCTTCCTACCTCACCTGGGGAGCCCTACTCATCTGTAAGGAGGCTCTGTCTTCTCCAAGCATAGGCCCACGCCCCACCCTCATCCCAGAAGCCAGACACAGAGGCAGGAGAACTGCCCTTGAGATGAGCATGACCGGAAAGTTGACGTGTGGCGGGGTGAGAGGCCGTCTCGCTTGAAGGCACTGGGCAGTGTGGGGTGTGACCGGCTGGAATTCCCTACCCTTCCCCTCCTTTCCCCACTGTCAGTGTCCAGGCTCCAGCCTAGCTCGTCTGGCTGGTGAAGGTCACCAGGGCCCGTGGACCAGCCCTTCCAGGCCTGAGCTCCCCCTGACTTCCCAGGCCCCCTCCAGCTGCTCTTAATTCAGTGTTCTCCTCCTGGCCTGGCCATGGAGACTTTCCTTGGTGTGTGCAAGGAAAGGAGAGTTTATTATCTAAAACTGCCCGAATTTTCCTCTCAGGCTTCCACTCCCTAGACTTACCGTTAATAATATTTCAGTGTCTTCCAAGTTGAATGACTATTTCCCATATAAATATGCTATCTATTTGAAGAGTTACTCTGTTTCAAACTCCCTGCTCCCCGCCCCCATTGCTATAACAATCCTACTCTCCCCCAGACAATATAAATGGGAAACTAAAGAACTGGTTTAAACAATCTCTTTGGATGAACCAGTCTCTCTGCGTAAATATTCAGCGTTTCAGGTTATTGTCGCCCCTTCTTTCCCCTAAGTCGGTATCTGGGTGCACGAAGCAGGCTCACCCGGCCATGGCGAGGCCTCCTTGGATCCGTGCTTGTCCTGTGCATCTTTGCCTGGGTCCAATGAGGCATGACAGTCACACCTGGACTTCAGGGTAATGTGCTGACCTGCACTGTGAGGGGTCCATGGTGTCCCATTTGCCTCTGGAAAAGTGCCTTACTGGGCTCTGCATTCTGGCCAGGTCTTTGCTTGAGCACTCAGCCCCTCTGATGTTCTCCCTGTGCCCCAGGGTCCCCTGCATGGCCAGGGAGGCCAGGAGCCCCACCGCGGTCACGCCTCCCCTGCCACTGGGGCACCTTCGCTCTGCACTGTGCTGGAAATGGCTGAGACCATCAGGCAGACCTCTAGAGGTGTGCAGCCCCCCTGACCCCTCCCCCCAATGACCTCGCAGAAGGGTGATTCGAGCGCCAAGATTTTCAGCACCCAGGGGTCCTCACTACCTTCCTCATCCCCTCTGTCCCCAAGACGAGAAGGGCAGGACTTCCACCATTTTTCTTCCTGCCTGCCAGGATGCCCCTACAGAGACCAGGATCTGCAACACCCAGACCTGCCTCTTGCCACAACAAAGGAATTTAGAAAATCCTTTCTCTAGACAGAGGATGGCTTTCCAGTCTGCTCAGTTGCAGGGAATTCAAAAAACAAGCCTAGGGCTTCCCTGGTGGCGCAGTGGTTGAGAGTCCGCCTGCCGATGCAGGGGACACGGGTTCGTGCCCCGGTCGGGGAAGATCCCACATGCCGCGGAGCGGCTGGGCCCGTGAGCCATGGCCGCTGAGCCTGCGCGTCGGGAGCCTGTGCTCCGCAACGGGAGAGGACACAACAGTGAGAGGCCCGCGTATGGCAAAAAAAAAAAAAAAAAAAAAGCCTAGCTGATATTCAGAGCTGGGCAGTGACTTGCTTGAGCAAGATGTCCCCTTGCCTCCAGCACTGCATAACTATAGTGAGTGGAGCTCCCCTGGGCTACAAGACCCACAGGCTGAGGAAATAGAAACGATTTCAAAACCCAATATCTCATTTACACATTCCTTTAATAATATTTATGGTGGGCCTACTATGTGCCAGGCACTAAGTTAGGACATAAACACTCCTTGAAATTGTTTGTAGTAAAAACATTATTAAGATATAATTGACCTACTATACAATTCACTCAAAGTGTACAACTCGGTATTTTTCAGTATATTTACACAGTTGTACAATTATCACCACCATCTAATTTTAGAGTATTTTCATCACCCCAAAAAGAAATCCCATATTCATTAGCAGTAACCCCTCCCACCCATACTACCCTCCCCCTAGCTCCTGGCAACCACTAATCTAACTTTCTGTCTCTATGGATTTGTCTATTCTGAACATTTCATATAAACAAAATCATACAATCTGTGACCTTTTGCAAATAGCTTCCTTCATTTAGTATAACATTATCAAGCTTCATCCACATTGATACCATGTATCAATACTTCAGTTATTTTTATTGTCGAATAATGATCCATTGTAAGGATATGTCACATTTTATCTATATGTTCATCGGTTGATGGGCGCTTGGGCTGTCTCCACTTTTTGGCTGTTATGAATAATGCTGCTATGAACATTCATGTACAAGTTTTTGACGTGGACAAATGTTTTCATTTCTTTTGGATATATACCCAGGAGTGGAATTGTTGAGTCATATGTGTTAAAAAAAAAAAACACCCAAAATTCATCTGAGTAAATTTTAAAGTTCTTATTGGCTTTATTCAAGGATTCATGAATCAGGTGGCATCCAATCTAGCAGACAGAAAGGAGCTCGGATGAGCTGTATGAAAGGAAAGATTTTTATAGGCAGAAGGAAGGGGGAACAAGGAAGGTATAGTGGCAAAAAGTAGATTGGAGTCGCAAGGTCACTTCCTTTAACGGATGGCGGGGTCTATCAGACTTCACTAGTGACAGGTTTAAGATTCCATTTCTGGGAGAGCTGAAACTGTAATTAAGTTTCAGTTTGGTGATGTGGGGCTTAGCATGAGTGACTCCATTTTGGGCCTGTTGTCTTGTTTTTAACATATGGTAATTTTGCCTAATATTTTGAGGAACTGCCAAACGCTCTTCTAAAGTGTCTGCACCATTTAACGTTCCCGCTAGCAGTGTAGGAGGGCTCCAATTTCTCTGCGTCCTCACCATCCTAGTGGGTGTGCAATGATCTCGGTGTGGTTTTGATTTGCATCTCCGTCATGGCTAATGATGGTGCTTTTCACGTGCTCGTTCATATATATCTTCTTTGGAGAAGCGTTTATTCAAATCCTTTGCCCATTTTTTTAGTTGGGCTATTTGTCTCTATTGTTGAATTCTTAGCATTCTCTGTGTATTCTGGATACAAGTTCCTTCTCAGTCCTTTTTGAATCTGAAGAGACATCTGAATCAAGGTCAGAGCAGGGGTTACAATTTTAACAGTTGGTGGAGTTCGTTGGCAGGTGAGAGAAACCTCGCAAAGAATGCATTTTGTCCCACGCAGAGGATTCCTGCAGGGACGGACCCTGGAGGGGAAGTGTGCAGAACTGTCGGGGCATGCCTGGGCCTGCTCTCTGTTCAATTACACCCCTTTCAGAACCCCTGCCAAAGAGGAATTTGAGAGATTTGACAGGCTGGAGGGGGGTAGGAACACTTGCTGGTTAGTGCATTGAAGGCGGAATTGTATGGGTAATTTTTCTTTCTTTTTCTTTTTTTTTTTAAGGAGCATAGGCTTTTATTTCTTGAGCAGATGAGATGGCACATAGAAAAGCATTTCGGAATTACAAAGCGATGCAAAGGTAAGGTGATATTCTTATTGTTACTATTGTTATTTGTAGGAACGGATGAAAACCCTCTCTAGGATGACAGCCTGTGTGTAGGGGTGGAGTGGGCAGGGATTGGGGAGTGGGAGTTGTGAGGGGATAAAAGCTAAAGGAGTGAGGAGGGTAGCAGAGTTTGCAAACCTTGGTTACCTGTGTGTGAGATGAGAGAGAAACACCTCTGTGATTTCTGGCATATTCCTTTACCACCTGTCTAGTTATTTACTTAATATTTTTCTCTAGATGGGCTCCTATTTCTTTTCATCAAACAGATATATTTAGAAAGGAAACATATCACAGGTAGAAATGGCAAACCTGCATCAGTTTCAAAAATGAATGGACAGGGGCTTCCCTGGTGGCACAGTGGTTGAGAGTCCACCTGCCGATGCAGGGGACAGGGGTTCGTGCCCCGGTCCGGAAGGATCCCACATGCCGCGGAGCGGCTGGGCCCGTGAGCCATGGCCGCTGAGCCTGCACGTCCGGAGCCTGTGCTCCGCAGCGGGAGAGGCCACAACAGTGAGAGGCCCGCGTACCGCAAAAAAAAAAAAAAAAAAAAAGTAAATGTCTCCCTCCCCTTCCCAGGCCTTCTCCCTGAAGATAGCCACTGTTCACAGTCACTTTCACATCGAGGCTTCCAGAAAAAATTTTCATAGATCTACATAAGTATCCTTCAAAATTTTATCCCATTCCTACTGTAGCACTTACCCATTTCTAGTGAAGCATCATACTGTCCTCGACCTTTCTTTTTAAGTTTTTATGTTGGCTAGTTTTACATACAGCACATAGAGACCTGCCTCATTCTTTTTAATGGCTAAGGAGCATTGTTTCCTATAAAAGATATATCATTTATTTTACTACCCCCCCTATAATGTACACTTAAGTTGTTTATGGGTTTTAGTTCTACCAAGAATGCTATAGTAAACAAATATTTATGTATGAAGAGCTTATCCAACAGGTCAGATTAAATCCATAAGAGAGATTTCTAGCTATAGAAATGCTGGGCAAAGGGTGGCTATGTTTAAAATGTTGACAGGGATGACGGGATTGTGCTGTACCAATTCATTTTCTCAGCACTTGAGCATGAGTATGCCTGCTCCCCTCTCCATCCAGAAAGTTCAAAGACTCTCACATGGTCTTTGGGTCGCTAGGGCTCCTCACATGTGCCTCATGCGCCTTGCCTCAGGGAGCTTCTGGGGCCTCCATTAAAATTAATAAGTAAACTAAGTTCTCCATTAAAACTAGTAAGTAAACTAAAAAAAAAAAGGAAGACAAGGGAACCAGGAAACAGAGGGTGTCAAACAGCGGAATTACAAAGATGACAGTGAAGAGAAGCCCATGATACTGGTGCATGCAGCAGGCCTGAAAAGCAATGAGTCCAGATTAGAATTAAAGAGTTAGGAGTTCCAAGAGTGATGCCCCCAAGAAAACAAAATGAACCTATAGGCGGTGTAATGTATATCACCATATTAAGAGGAACTTTACAGTTCTGCAGAAAGTTTTGGGATGAAATAATGATAGAAACATTGAAGCCTAAGCGAAAGGAATACAAAGTGATTATTAACTCTGGGAAAAACAAAGAGTCTTGCAAGAAAGAAAAATGTAATCACGTTGCACTAGGGAACTCAGCTGTGAGCAATGTTTGAATAATACATACATAATATGTAATAGTATATACAAATGTAAAAATAATATGTATATAATAATAACATAAACACTGAATTTTGATTCAGGCAAATCATCTTATATTGGGAAGTTAGGGGAAGGAGAAGTAGTATACAGAGAGAGATAAATCCTCTCTCTTTTTTTTAATAGTAAGAGGGCACAAAATAAAGTCTATAATGAAAAACATACCAATAAATGGCAGTATCAGCACTGTCTTTAGAAATACTATGCAAATATTAAGGAAAAACCAAGAGAAATAGCAAATTTTTCTTTTAAATGCTGCCTCTGGAGAGCAGGGGTAAAAAGGTGGTATAGGACACTGGGTATTAGTGATATTAATTGTGAGCCTTATAGCGCTATTGGCTTTTTTAACCTATTTATCTGTCTTACTTTGGTAAACTAGACTGGCATATATAGGATGCTACAGTTTTTGTAAAATAAAGTGTTATACATACATGCATATGCACACACACACAGAGAATACCTTAGGAACGGGACACACATGCGCGCACGCGCACTTGCCGATCTTAGGTCAGCTCCTCGGAGGGGACCTGGGCACTGACTACATCAGCGTTAGTGTGGACGCACTGTCTGTAACGTGAAGGGGCAGCTTCGATATGGGTGCCCAGCAGCACTTGCCGTGGCTCAGGGAGCAGATGGTACGTGATGCTCAGGGGAGAAAGCAGCCGTCGTGGGCTGCCACGGCCAAGTTGAGCCTGACTAAGCTCCGATCACTTCTGAACAATTTTCCGACGTCACCTCTGACAACGTGCTGTGATTTTCCTACAAACGTGACAAAGGAATGTGGCTTGGTTGACTACACTTGGATGGAGTTAGCCAGTTGAAAAAAAGTAACCAAGAGACTGATAAACAGAGGCAATCTTTGCAGGAGAGTGCCTCTGCCCTTGTCTAAATGCTTTCCCACCTGTGTTTTGCATAGGGCATAAAGGCCTGGTCACTGGATCTGCAGATGACACATAATGGGAGGGGCAGACCACATGTGACGGCTTCTTCCCCGTCCAGGGCTGCCTCCAAGAAGGGGTCTGTCCACCCTAAATTTCTAGCCTGTGGGAATCTTCTTTCACATCCCGTTGCTCTCTGAAAAGAGCAGGTCCCTTTCATCCTCAGCTTTCAGGTCAGCCTTCTATGACTTCTGGTTAAATTTGCTGCCCTAGAAACTCCTGCCTTCCAGATGTCTCTTTGGGCTCCGTGCACTGGCCCTCCAGGGCCCTCATCTTCAGCTGTGGCTCTAGACCCCGGGTCTGGGACCTGACTCAAAAAGGGCACGTGTGGCTTCCTTTAGACCTCTGTGGCTGGGCCTGGGTCAGCCCAACTCAGTTTGAGCAACTTGGATTATGCTGTATCACTCAGGGATGGCTCCTGACACGATCTAGGGCTCGGGGTGGATCTGACGTGGGAGCCGGAAGCCTTGCCCCTAGCTCCTGCTCAGGCTGACCTGGCCATAAGGCCCCTCTGTCCTCTTAGCAACCTTGAGGTCCCCCACATTTTCAGTCTCCAGGCCCTGTCCTGGCCGTTAGCCCCTGGTCCTCCTGGAGCACCAGGAGGTCAGCAGGGAGAGTGGTTACACTCTTGCTTCCTGGAAGCCAAAGCCTGGAGCTCGAGGCTCAGCTTTGCCATTTACTTGCCGTGTGATCTTGAGCGAGTTTCTTACCCTCAGGGAGCCTCAGTTTCCACACTTACAAAACGTATCATGTGTATCAACCTCACATGATTGTTATTAGGACGATAAGATGATCAAATCTGTGTCAGGAGTTAGAGCAGTGCCTGGCACAGGGATCGGCGCTGAGACTCTGGTAGCTGTTATTTTCATGGTATTATCACCTCCTTTTTGCAAATGAGGAAACTGGCTCAGAGAAATGAAGTGATTCGCCCAAAGTCACACAGCTTGGAAGTAGCAGATCATAGGACTAAAAGCCACATTTTTCAAGCTAAAGATAGGGCCATTTATAAAATACCTGCAGGCCGTTCCATGGGGCAAAGAACAATTGACCCCATGGGATAGGAGTGAAGCCCAGGTCGGGGAGCCCAGCTGGGGTGGAAGGTGTGGAATTGGAGGCTTTCACTGGAGCCGGGTTCTCAGTGCTGCCTGTATAATACAAATACAGAAGCATGTAGAACCTATAGGGGCCTGGGCCCCATGCTAGCCTTGAATGAGAATCTCTAGAGCTGAGTACGGGTACTTTCACAAGCTCCTCACATGATTGTAATGTGGGACCCAGTGGAAAAGGCTAAATTGGAGGGCCTCAGAGGCAAGGATTTGGACAGGATGCCAGAGAGGGGTCCAGAGTGCCTGCACTGGAGGATGGAGGGGGGTGACTGAGACTCATTGGACAGAGGGCAAACGGAGGCCCAGAGTGGACATGGCAGGTCCAAGTCCCGCAGAGCCCGCGGACAGCCCCTCCCCTTGTCTGGCCAGGTGTGGCCGGAGATGCAGCTTGGGTTGCTTGTTTTCTGGCAGGCGGGATGTGTGAGTTTTTCAAATGGCTTTGACTTTTGAGTCTATTAGTGATTAATTCAGAGCTCCATTTAGAGCTAGCTGATCCACATTTGGAGGAGCAGAACGTTTTGTGGCAGCCGAGGCGCAGCCACGATTCATCCGCAGGCAGCCCACCCACTTGGCAGCCTGGGAAGGCACGAAGTCTGGGCAGGGCCCTCTCACAGCACCCCCTAACCCAGAAGGCTCTTCAGGGTGGGGGGTTGGGCCTGGGTGGGAGGTGGATCCTGTAGAGGTGGGCAGTACAGCCCAAAGAGCCTGGCTTAGGCTTCAGACCCCACTCTACCTCTTCCAAGCTGCATGACCTTGGGCAGACCCCTTCAACTCTCTGAGCCCCGGTTTACGCATCTACGGAAATGATCACCCCTATACCTCTATGCAGGGTTGCTGGGAAGATGCAATGAGCTAATATGCTTGAATGCACTCAGCACAGAGAGCTTGGGACACAAGAAGGGGCGTGGTAATGGCAGTGGAGGTTCCTCCTTTTCCCCCTGCAGTCCTTCTGAGACCTCCCTCCTGGGCTCCTGGGGAAGGAGCTTTGGCGTCTGCAGCTCTGGCTTCACGCTTACCCCTGTGTGACCTTAGACAAGGCCAGTTAGTTTACCTCCTTGAGCCTCAGTCTCCTTGTTTGTAAAAGTGAGATAATGGTCCCTACCTTTCAAGATTGTTCTGCAGGTTCCACGAAAAACGTCCATGCGAGCTGGCAGCGTGCAGCAGTCACTCCCAGTGGAGGACCAGGGTGGGGGACGGCGGGAGTAGCCCACCCTGGGCAACGGCCATACAGGTGCCTGGACTCAGAGAAGTCTTGAAAATTAATATAATGTACTGAAAGTCAGTCTGCTTTTTATCACCCCACAACAGCAATTCTAACAATGATAGTGATCGAATGCTCCTTTGGACTGGGGCAGACCACTGCCAGCGCCCCTTCCCCTTGTAGGCCACTGGACCCTCCAGGGGCGATGGCTTTCCTCTCCTCCTTGCTGTCCTTCAGTGTCCCTCCTCCCACCCATACTCTCCTGGAGACTGTCTCTCCGCCCCCATTTCACACCCCACTTCTTGGCTCTCTCCCCAACTTGTCGGTGTAAAGTCTCTGGCGACAGCTGGGGCCCCATACAAGGCTGACAGAGTTCATTCTCCAGAATGTGGACTGGGGGGGGCCACAGGATGAGGGCTTCCCCTCCTGGCCGGGGGCAGAGTTCTCTCCTGCCTGCTTCCTCTCTGTGATCACACAGCCATTTCCCCCTCTACCTGCCTGTGCCTTGCAAACAAAATCCCTTGGCGTGGTGAGGAGGCCGCAGACAGACATTGATTATTGGATCGATGGGGACAGTGGTTCAGCCCCGCAGTCTGGGATCAGCGCGCTGGCCTCCGGTGGCCGCGTGATCTGCTGGCTGCAGGCAGCTGGGTTCTAATCCTGACTCGGCCACACCCACCGAGCGACCTCTTTTCTCTGAGCTGAGTTGAGGATGGGGCTGGCCAGATGGCCTGGGGTGGCATGCTGACATCTCCAAGGCCCTGCTGGTTTCTCCATCGTAAATGAGGGGCTGGAGCGAGAGAGGACAGAAGTCCCTTCCAGTGCACTTGCAGATTGTGTTCAGGCTACAGAGCACACACTCACATACCTTTCCTCGAGCCTGGCGTATCTTTGCATCCACCACGGTGCGCTGGGCACACTGGAGCACCAGGGATGTTTCTGGAAGGGTGGAATGATCTATAACTGTTTTCTCTGTGTCAGTTAATTCTGAGTCCCCTTCCTCCAAAGAGAGCCCGTGGGAGAGGGGGCCTGCTGGTCCCCACTCCCAGCCCACCACGCCTCTCTTCTTAGCATCCACGACTCCTTCCTGAAGCTCTGTCCCCACGGGAAGTACTACAAGGAGGCCACCTTGACCATGGACCAGGTCAGCTCCCTGCCAGCTCTGAGGGTGAGTCCACGGGGTGGGGTGGAGGGGGTGGGGGCGGCCTCACTGGGATCTGCTGAGGCGCGGAAAGCACTGGTCTCAGTGTCCTCACCTGTGAAATGGGTGGAGTGGTGGGCCGGCTCAGATTCCATGTGCTCCCTGAGGCCCTGTGCACTCCAACAGGCTACCAATCTTTTAGGGACTGTCCTTGAGCTTTTGTCCCTGTTGTGAAAAGACCCTGCCCTTCCCCCAGGGTGCCTGGAAGAGCCCAGAGGTGCACGATAAAAGGGCTCCCCAATCACTCCTGAGATTTTAATTAAACTTTGTGCAAAGCATAGAGAGGCAATGCCAGGTTAGCAAATCACAGCAGTGTCAGGCTTCCTGATTTTTCATTCGGATCTTGGCAGAATAATGGTTTGAAGGTGTCATTGTGCAGTGAGAGCCCATCTTCATTTCTGTCTGGAGGAAGACAGGCTCAGAGAGCTGTGGGCGCCTCTTTAAAGAGGGCCGGGGGCGGGGTGGCAGGAGGGGTTCTGAGGGAGAGATGGTGGGCGGGGGGGCCCCTCCGAAGTGACAGACCTGTTCTAGGGCAAAGACCGAGAAGGAACAATAGCCCGGGACTTGCAGTAGAGGCTGGAACTGAGAAGACAAGGGAACCAGAAGGGGTGTGGGATCTCGGGGGGAGCTGGGAGCAGAATCCTCAAAAAGGTGACATCATTGGAGAACGTGTCTATCCCAGATGCAAAATGGGGAGCCTGTCCTCCAGGGACCCCCTCCTCACACACACAGCCCTGCACACCCTCACACCCGCAAACACTCAAACACAAGGTGGGGAACTTCTCCCAGACCTAGACTGAGAGGCAAGGCTGAATGGGGAGCTTCTGCCCTCCCCTCCCTGGACAGGCGGTGGTGTCACTGTTCAGTCCCAGAATATCTGAATGCTAAGCTTGGAAAGAAACTTAGAAACCACCAGTCTAGTCACTTTCCAGTATTCTCCACTCTGGTTTTATCCATCGGAAAACTGAATCCCCAAGAGGGAAACAGCTCACCCAGGGCCACATGACACAGCCGAGCCTGGAAGTCAGGCAGGACTCTGACCCCACGGCCGGGCCTGCACTTCCAGTCAGGGCTTGGCTCGGTGCTGACCTGTGTCCGGGGCTGCCAGGCGCTTTGGGGAGCAGCTGGCAAAGACCCGCCCTAGAGGGCTGGCACGGAGGGTGCTGCATGACCAGTGGCCCCAGCACTCTGGATGGACCCAGCACACCCTAGTCACGCTTGGGGGCTCTGATCTGAGCCCCAGAGGAGAAATCACTGGACTAGGCCAGAGGGCTGGGTCCGGGCCCAGCTCCATCACACTCCACGGATGACACATCTCCCCTCTAAGTTTAATCTCCAGTCTGTGAAACAACATGCACACCCTGCGCTGTGTAACAGACCTTGCAGGGATGAGCCATGGTCCTCTGCACCCTCCATTTTGCTCGCCTTCCTCTCCCTCTTCTTGGGGTCTGGGGTGGGGCCGCCAAGGCTGGAGAAGAATGGAGGAGGGGCAGATGGGCACTTGGGCAACAACCCCGGGTGGTCTGGGGTCTGCTTGGCCGCGGGCTCATCGTCTGGCAGACAAGGGCTGGGGGCCGATGCAGCAGACATGTCAGGCTACTGTAAAGTGCTGTGATGTGTGAGGGGCTGTGGGCGGACCACCGCCCCAGGGCGAGGCCACAATCTGGGTCATCTCTGGAGCCCTAGAGCCCCAGGAGCTTGTTCACTGGACAGCGGCTGGGGACTGAGACGGGGCCTTGGGACGAGAGTAATTTTACATTTCCTATTTCATCCTTCTAAACGGTCATTATTTTATTCCATCCTACAAATAAAAACCACATCATTGCAGAAAAACTGGAAAACACAGACAGAAAAGCAAAAATGGTAAAAATCATCACGTAGCCTACCTCAGGGTATGACTGTCATGATCATCTTGCCTTATTTCTTTCCACACTTTTTTTTTTAATGTGGATATATAAGTGTTTATTGGGATCACACTGACTTTTTTGCTTGTTGCTTTTTTTTTCTGCCCCTTTTTAGTTTCTTTGTTGCTTTTCCAACTGGTTCTGAACAACCAGTACCATCTCATGAATTGAGGACACGGAATTGAGAGAACTAGGGGACAGGGCATAGGGCCAGGACCGGAAGAGCTGGCTTTGAACTCACTTGCTAGGCAAGTGATCTCAAGCAAGTCACTTCACAAAAGGAATGATTGAGGGTGAGGGGGAAGCAAATAGGCCCCAGCAAAAGACTAGGAGGGAGGGGTGCAGCGTGGAGCTGTTTTCCTGCAAGTGAAAGGCCTGGCTCTAGGTGCTCCCAGGCATAGGCATGGGTCCAAAGACGTAGGTTTCTCCACAGTAGAAGGAAGCACTTTTTAATCATCAGAGCTGCATGCAGAGGGAATGAGCTCCCTGTCCCTGACGGGCACCAAGCGGGAGGCTGGCCAAGCATTCAGCTGGGGTGTTCTAGCACACACCTAGGTATCAGAGGAGACTGGACTGCGTGCCCTGGTGCCCTCCTCACCCTCCGGGTCTGAGGTTCTGATTCTACCCTGGAGCTTGGTCTTACTCTCCTTTGTGTCATCTACCACAGTGTGTCCCAGACTTTGGACTTCATAGTCCGATAAAATCCACCCCCCCCCCACTCAAAAAATGATTATTTTGAGGAAGGACTAGCTAGAAATGCCAACTTTCCAATTTTGCCAAGTAAGGACTTAAAACATGTCTCCACGATCATCATTTCATTTTTAAAAGATGTTCATTTTAGAACAAAAACGTAAGAAGGATCTAATCCCAGAAGCAATAACAGTTCTTTCCACACACATCCCCTTTTGTTCTTATTTTTCTCCCTCTGTTACTGGTTGTCAGGAACTTTGTCCCTGATCATGCCTGGTCCTCAGACTAGCATCTGGGGTTTTAGATCCAGGACTCAAGTTTCCTTCTGTGCTTTTCCTATCTTGGTCGAAGTAGAAAGCTGACTTCCCAAAAGGAGCAAGGAGAGGGTTGATGGGAGGTGGGGCCCCAAGTGTCCCCGTGTCCTCTACGGCCCCAAGGACGGGAGCTGGGTGACTCACCCTGCCCAGAACACATCTCTGGAAAAGCATTGAGAACGGGGCCCCAGGGAGCTCTGGGTACTGGTATTACTTGGCTCAGGGTCCTGACTGATCTGGGAAGAAAGTTCTGTTTTCTTAACTTGGATTCACTCGTGGAAAAAGTAGGTTGGTTAATATTGGGAAGCGTCTGTCTGTCAGCGGAGGGCAAGGCAACAGCGGCCTGGGCAGCACAGGCTAGCGGAAAAGCCTGACCACAGGAAGGCCCTGCTGGGCCAGGACGCACTGCCCCTTTTTACCGAGAAGTTTCTGTTTTCTTTTCGTCTGCTGCTCTGTTTGGTGTATTTAGAAGTGAATTAGCTCAGTGTTTCTGTTCTTGTAAATAATGATCTTGCTTTCTGTAAACACGAATGAGGAGTGGCATGGTGTGACCCGCCTGAGTTTCTAGTTTCTGGGACCAGGACAGCCAGCCGCAAGACCTGGGGGGAAGGTACTGAGGTCTCACAGGGGGTCTGGTGGAAGCTCCCACACTGAACAGGGCCACCGCGCACCTCCGGCCTCTTCCCACCTCCCTTCCTGGGGTTCCTGCAGGCAGGTGGTCTGTGCACAGCATCAACTCTGTAAAGCACTGAGAGGTTTGGGAACCCGTCCGAGGTGTCAGGAGACGTTCCAGGTACGGCTCCTAAGGTTTCAGCTCCAGCTTGGTTTCCATCTATCCCAGTTTTCCTGGGCCTTTCGGAGGCCTGCCTATATATAGGCTACTTAGAATAGCTTGCAATAAACTCACTCCCGTCTCTTCTCGCGTATATTTCATCTTCCTCCCTTTGCTCTCTCTCCTGGGAGCTTTCCTCAACTTTATCTTCATGTCCAATTTAGTTTTTCACTTCTGCCATCATGATTTTCGTTTCCAAGGGCTTGTTTTTATTCTCTGTTTATTTCTCTTTCTTTTAATAGTATGCTCTCATTTTTACTGGACGTAATGTCTTCTCTGATCTGTAATCCAAGGTGCTTCTTTCCACGAGCTTGTTTGGGTCACCATCTCTCATGTCAGAAGCCTTCCTTGGGTACTTGGTAACTGTCTGCTCATAATTAAGAGTGGAAGGTGGTTGCTAAAAAGCTGTTTCAGAGCTCCAGTCTCTGGGCGGGGTTCGTCGACTGGGAGCTTCCCTGAAGGGTGAACTGAAGGGGCCATTTCTTGAGGACAGTCAAGAACAGGAGGAAAGTTCTGGCTGTCAGGATCCTGGAGCTCAGCTGGGGAAGAATCACTGAGTAACGGCTGCTATTCCCCTGTGTCCTCTCTGTCTTTGTGGGTCACGCCTCTAAAGACTGCTTTACTATAATTTTAGTGGGTATCGGAACGGAATGAAAAGAGATGCAAGGGTTCGACCTGCTATCTTTATCCAGGATTGACACCTGCATTCCTGTTGTTCAGTAATACGTTCCAAAAATGTTTCCAAAACACCCACTCCTCATTGTTGCTGAGTATCTTGAGGGTCTCAGAATCTTCCACACAGACAGCAGCTGTCCCCAAACTTTTCTCCTGGAGAGCTCTCCACGCCCGACCTCCCAGATGCTCCGCTTGGCTGGTATCCTCAGAGCCTTGCTCCCTGCTCTCCCCTCCCGTCCCCACACCGCCCTGCAGCCCAGCCAGGCTGCTCGGGGAGCCCCCTCCCTCCCCACGGACCCCTGGGAAAGGTCACTCTTTGTCCTGTTGATTATCAGAGGGCAATTCCCACGGAGAAGAGACATTTTTTGGAGTCTGATGAATAGGGCTTCCCACACCCGGTCCTTATCCATTCGCCCCAGAAGTAGTTATTAGGCATTTACTATATGTTGCATATGGAGTGAGGTCTTGGGGGCTTAGAAGGCCTTTTCTCAGCAAATTCAGGGATAAGAACCAACAGGAGAATCGCAAACCTTGGGGGCTTTGCAGAGCTCA